TATATATATATATATATGTATGTATATGTATGTATGTATATAAAAAAAGTTAACCTATACTAATATCCAGAGTAAGTAAACTTATTCTAGAAGGCCTCTCGTAAAGGTCAACTTGACAAATACTTGCCACTTTGGCCACTTTCCCACTTTTTCGAAGTGACTGCACAGCAAATGAATGAGGCACATTATCCATGGCGATGGTGTTGACCTGCATCACACGGTCATTCTCACTGTCCACAACAAAACAAAACAAATGTTAAGTCTACAACAAAACAGAGACATTCCATGCTATATTATTATGCTGAAACACTTGGCATTTGCAATGCATTTCACCTCCATAATGTAGTATATGATGCATTTCTGAAAATTAATATTCAGTGGGAAATAATGTAGGACTGGTCTTAATTGAATCAGCCAGTATTACACTGGAATGTAAAAAGTAGGCTCTGATATAGAGTCCTGCATGGATAATATATTTTTGCAGGCCAAAACCAGCTTTTTTATATGTTTATAGTTTATAGCCTACAGTTAGCTTTTTAATTCAGATGATTGTATTTAGGCTTCAAAATTCATAAAAAGTTATGTTAAATGTTAAAGATTCACTAACAATGCAAACTTCAGTGTTGCCCTACAAAAATATGCCATGATTGCAATGCTCTATTATTAGATAATATCATTTTACCCAGCCTTGATTACTTTACAACAACATGCACTAATAAAACATGCACAATAACACCAAAGACATTTATTAGGACAGTAAGCATGATAATATTTGAATTCATGTCATTTTGAAGAGCTCTACTTGAAAACCCAATACTTATCAACCTGCCTAAACTGGTGTAAAATAATGGTTTACCAATACGCTAAACACACAAGCATTAGTAAGGGGAGTGAAGCGTACAAGAGCAGTCCATCGGCCGGTCCTCCTGGCAGCACGTCTGACACAATGATGGACGTCTCTCCGGTCTCCACGTTTGGATTGTCCCGGCCCCCGGACACAGCAATTCCAAAGCCCATCTTAGAGTCCTGTGAGAGAAAGACAGAGAAATCGCTTTCAGTGTGAAAACCCCACTAATGCATTTCCTCAGTCATATATCACAGACAGCCTGCCCAGACAAGGAGTGTTTAATATCGCTTCATAGAAATGCACAAATAGTCAGCAGTGTTACACAATCACGTTCATGCGCTTATATGATGAATCTTTCATAAACTGCAACTGCGTGCCGCCACAGTGCGGTTTTGCAGAAAGCCACTGCATGCCAAAGCTAATGGAGACATGGTTCCACTTCATTGCTTGGCCAAATAACAACCTGCTGTACCTGCCTCAGAGGAACGCTAAATAAATAGAGTCTAAGTGGGTATCGCGGGCTTGATGCAATCTGCTCCAAATATATTCAGGCTCAATTAAAGCCAGAAATAAAACCTGACAGAACCGAGTAAAACCAAGATTTCGGAGTGTTACAGTGTTGGAGGGATTCATCTAGAGACAGGTCAACCAGCCCTCAATGTTTTGACGGTATTTATGGATGATCTGTGCTCTGGAAGTGCACCAATGCACACAAAATTCATTGGAATCACTGGCCAAAATGTAATCTGTATGGAAATATTACAAAGTCTGTAAACAGGGCGTTAAGTTCACAAACTGTTGCAAATTGTGAAGGAACTACAAAGATATTTGGCATGACAATTTTGAACTGACATTTCACCCAAAAACAGACAATGAGTATTTTAAGTGTTAATGGTTATGAACAGACGAGGATAACTGAATATTGCTGAAAATTAAGATTCATGTGCCGAAGTCGGCACAAATAGGCAATTTTACTCCTCCTGCAAAACTAGCCAAGAAGTGCTTATGCATTCCAGCAACTAGTTCCCCATTTGAAAGAGTTTTTAATGCTAGTGGGAACATAGTGTCATGCACAGAGCCTCTCTTAAACAAGAAACCACTGATAGACTTATGTTCTTAGCTTGTGAAATACTTGCATAATTTAGATAGATATCAAGACTTCAAATTTTAGGTGCATCCCTCAGCCTTAGTTCCGTGTAGGATTGTCATTTCATTTTTTGCATTCCCATTTGCTCAAATAGCAAAAGAAAAACTCCACGATAGTGTTTTTATGATTTTCAAAAAAAGGAAAAAAATTGCAAGAGACTGATAACGGCAGTCAGAAGAGAGAACGATGTCAAATTTACCGTCCCTCCCATAGATGCTGCATTAGAAACACCCTCGCATCAGCATTAACTAGTTTTTTTGTAGTTTAATGCAAAGGCAATGTAGTAAAAAGTATAGTGTTATAAATATACATTCATTTAAAAAAAAAAAAAATATATATATATATATATATATAAAAAACTTTATGATGCTGATGTTGACCATTAAACGTGTCATCACAGTCCTGTGAAAAGGGTCCATATGGTCATGCAGAAAATATGCTTTATAAGTACTAATAAACAGCCAATATGTTATTAATAGGCATGCTAATAAGCAACTAGTTAATAGTGAGAACTGGTCCCTATACTGAAGTTTTACCATTTTATTGTAATTTTATGAAATTGTATAAAGCTAAAGTCAAACCATTCTGTTTTTTTGCTCTAATTTAAAACAACTGTTGGCACTATATTGTATTTCTTATTCATGTACCCTTTCATTTTTTCTTATCTATTGCTTAATGAAAAAATTGGGAATCTATTAAAAAGAATCGTCAATCAGAATCAGCTGTGAAAATGTATGAACGGTGCTGAACAGACTGCCAGTGACTCTAAAGGTGGGCGGTAACCATATTATGGTCTGAGTAAGTGAATATCACAGTAGTGATATAGATCATGATATGCCACATAAACTTCTAAGTACCCTTTTCCCCCCAAATTTTCCAAAGATTATATCCTTGCTTTTATGTTGCAGTAATAAATGAGTCTATTCTTATCTGAACTCAGCAATCTGACATCCCAAAGTGCTGAGATGTTTTCCCAGGATGAGTCTGATGTGGAGATGGTGGTGATAGCGTCAGTGTGTTTGGATAGCGTGTGTGAACCCTTGCGATCTGTCATGTGCGAGATAAAAGATGCACATCCTGTTGTGCTTGATGTTGGAGGAAGAAAGAATAGGAGGAAAGAAGGAGAAGATGGGAAGAGAGGGGGGAGGGGTAACTTCTGATGGGCTGAAGCACTTGTACAAAGGAGAAACAAGCACGAGTTGTTGGTAAAAATGACAACCATAGCTGTGTCCCAATTCAAAGGCTACATCCTTCGAAGGACTCAGACTTCAAAGGCTGCATTTGAAAGAGCCTTCGAATTGGGACAGCCTTCGTCGTACCGCGATCAGTAAGATTTAAGAAAATAATACTTTTATTCAGTAAGGATGCATTAAACTGATCAAAAGTGACAGTAAAGACATCTATAATGTAGGGGTGTAATGATCCATCGATATGGATCGATACATCTATTAAACGTCTAAAGATACGATGTATCGATGCCACATGTAAAATATCGATATCTGTAGTATAAATAGGCACCTTATTTTAACACTGTCCACATTTTCACCAATGTCCGTCTATGCATTGCTGCTAATGCATGCATTCTCGTTCAAATCACGTGTCAGGATGATAAGACTGCCTGAAGGGCGAGCGTAAAAGACGCTCTGGATAGCTGACGGAATTGTCGAGCGCTTGTGAGAAGTTTTCAGCGTGCAGTGACACGGGCACACATCCAAAGCGCACGCATACAGACAGACGTATCGACAGCCCACTAATACCTAATTGAGCTCTCTTCTGCTTTTATTGTGCATGGATGAACAAATAGACCAAATTACAAATGTCGGTTAGGCCTATGTCTTAACGTAAACAGTTAAGAAAGAAAACGCATGTGTATCAATATATTGGATCTGTGCTTTTCTTCTTAAAGGGAAAGCAGACTAACAGAAAATTTCTGCCAAAGAAAAAAATCTCAGATTTTGACTGAACAACTTTTATAAGGATTAATCTATATTTAATCTATACAGTGAAGACTATGCAGTGTTATTTTACATTTGATTATTACATTTCTGTACCTAAGAATTTCTTTTAGATCTGCCTGAAAAACCTGAAAAGCACTGTTTATTTAATTTGTGTCTTTGTTATATTGTATTTATTTTCTGCTATTGCTTGTAATAGGGCTGGACAATAATTCAATATCAATATGTGTCGCGATATAATTTTTTTCAATAACGGTGATATGATTTTTAAACACATTTCCGATATTTCGATATACATTACCAGTGTTTCCCATACATTAATTTATTTGTGGCGTTTGACTTCGTTGAATAAACATGAGCACTGCACATATCAAAATCAAAACACGTCGCGGGTGTTTTATATGAATGTATCTCTGAAGGGAAAGGACTGTCTTCAGAAAAGTTTCGATGACATTTTTATTTTATCTGATAAAGAGGCATTCATGAGCGGAGCTGATTTCATTACAGCCGTTACCGGGGAAACCGCTAGATCTACCGCTCTCACAGCGCCTTCTGCTGGCAGACAATCAGTTTGCATTTTCAGTAACGTTTTTGTTGTTTTTTTTCCGTTGTTGTTGTTGTTTATACTTCTGCTCACCAAGCCTGAATTTATTTGATCCAAAGTACAGCAAAAACAGTAAAAAATTTTTATATTTTTACTATTTAAAATAGCTGCTTTCTATTTGAATATATTTTAAAATGTAATTTATTCCTGTGATCAAAGCTGAATTTTCAGCATCATTATTCCAGTCTTTTTGGAAAATCAATTTGCTGATTATCAATATTTAAAACAGTTGAGTACATTTTTTTCAGGACTCTTTGATGAATAGAAAGATCCAAAGATCAGCATTTATCTGAAAAAATAAATAAATAAATAAAAAGCAACACCCCTACTATAATGTAACAGAAGATTTCTATTTCAAATAAGTTCTTTTGAACTTTCTTTTCATTAAAGAATCCTGGAAAAAAATGTCACCATATAGACCCATATATAATATACAGTACAATAAAGCAGCACAACTATTTTGCAATATTGATAATAATTAGAAATGTTTCTTGAGCAGCAAATAAGCATATTAGAATGGTTTCTGCTGGATCATGTGACATTGATGCTGGAGTAATGATGTTGAAAACTCTTGCATCAAAAGCCTTGCATCACAGAAATACATTTCATTTTAAAACCTATTAAAATACAAAACAGTTATTTAAAATTGCAATAATATCTCACAATATTACTGTATTTTAGGTTAAAAAAAAAACAGCCTTGTTGAAGATAAGAGTCTTTCATTCTCCAAACTTTTGAACAGTAGTGTATACTGGAATAAAAAACATAAAAAACATTCTTCAGAGTAAAGCCTAAACCAAATGTGGATGTAAACATGGTCATTGTTAATATTCAGATATAATCATAATCTTAAAGATTATATTCTCCTAGATCCAGCACATCAGTGTCGGTGAGTTTCAGATATTGTTGTGTGTTAGAGAGGCTGGTAGAGTGTTTAGCCTGGGTACCGCAGGAGGTTCTAGTCTGTTTGTTAAGAGGGCCATCCATCTGTGCAGTGTGTGTTCTGTGGCCTCTTTGGCTACAAGCATGAAACTTCTGGTTCACAGCCCTGCCGCTCTTCTACAACACATTTCTAAACATGTAACTCTTAAACCTGTATTGAGTAAGTTAGTTCATGTAACAGAGTTTCATACCCGCTGTAGAGTCACAGTGTACTGCTCCCAAACCGTCTCCTCCATTCCTGAGCTCTGTGTGGAAAAGAGAAAGAAACTATCATTTATCACCAGTCAGGCATCACTAAAGTTAGTATGCTGTGCGATGTGACGTAGGGTTGAGTGGCTCATACACAAATTGGTCCTAAATGAAGTGTCCTGAACTAATTATTTCATAATGACATGGATGCACACATAACATTAAAGGAATGTTCCTGGTCAAGTACAACTTGAGCGAGACAGCATCTGTGGCAATTGCATTGGACAATCAGTAGGTTCTCCTCCTAGAATAATAAACCCAAGTCAAAAATGTTTCTTTCTTTCAACGATTTTTACAAACAAAGTTCAATCTGAAGTCAAAATTACGTTCTATAATTTTCTCTTATTCTACAGAATACCACAGATTCTATCTATACACTTTAAAGGTAAAGTGTGTCATTTTTTTAAGTTAAAATACTGTCTTATATACCAGTTATGGAATAAAGAAATGGGAAATGTGTTGGGGAAACTACTTATATATATATATATATATATTTTTATCCTTTTTTATCTGTTTTTACTGAAAATACCATTCAAACTTTTGGGGTCAGTATATTTTTTATTAAAGAAGTCAGTTCAGCAACGATGCACTAAATTGATGTGTAAAGACATTTAAAATATGTTACCAACAGATTTCCATTTTAAATAAATGCTGTTCGGCTTTTATATTCATCAAATAATCCTCCAAAATGCATCACAACTTCCACAAATATAAATAATAATATTTATTAATACTCTTTTTTTAATATTAAATTTTAGTTTTTATTAAACTGTAATAATATTTCCCAATATTACTGATTGACCGTATTTTTTTATCAAATAAATACAGCTTTGGTGTGCCTAAGACACTTTAAAAAACATAAAAAAATATATCCAACACCAAATTTTGAACAAAAGTATAAATTAGATTTTTATCATGCTATTTTATTTTACACACTTCACCGTAAAGTTTTAAATAACCAAGTATATTCCTTATAATGAGATAATGAAAATGAATATCGGTCAATACATGAAGACCCTCCCCTCCCCAGCTTTATGGTAACATCCAGAAATACCTGTGAACGCCTCATTATTTGGTACGACTCATTATGTCACTGCATCAAACTGAGGGTCTACCGCATATGGCAGAAGAGTGTGTATGAAGGATGGGCCTGTCATTTCCACAGCTCACAAGGGCGAAAGCACCATTTTTTATTTTTAAGAATAATAAAGACATATGAAGACTGAATCCATGTCAACTCACAGATCTATGCAAGCCAATGTCCTTAAACATGACACCAGGGTCTGTATATCCCTGTGTATCTTTAAAACACATATAAACAACCGGCCCGACAAACTCACACACACACACACACACACACACACACACACGGCTCAAGGGTGTGTTTGTTCCAAAGAACAGACAGACATACCCATCAATATTGATGATTAACTGGAAACAGTCACAGTACAACCCAACCTCAACTAAACCATGACGACACAAGGTTAAACCATGGTGACTTTGACAACATGTCCAGTTAAAGCTTCTTAAAATAGAAGTCTTTAAATAAGATTCTGTTTAATCTAAACAATATCCTAATCTACACCTGAATCTACTTTCATTAAACGTTTCTCCTTACCATGTCAAGTCAAACTTATTTATACAGCACTTTTCACAATACACATAATATGAAAACAGCTTCACAGACAAATAGTGATGTTAATATTTATAATATTTTATTATTTTCATTCCATATAGTCACATCTAGCAGATTAGAGCTGGACGATAATAAAGTTTACATTTTGCAAAGATACAGGCAATCAAGCAGTTGAGGTTTGATTTAGTATATATCACCTTACATGAGCACAGTATATCGTATGTATCCAGATAAAGTTGAACATACTTACAAGCGCCTTTGCACCGCATATTCTAGGAACTTAGTTCTATAAAGAAGCCAACAGGGTCGTTCTGAGAGAACCAATTACTCCCTCGGGCTGTTTTCCTGGTTGCATTCGCACCGGCAACAGGAACTCTGAAGCGGTCAATAGGGATGTCTTTATTCGCGGCATTTAGCATTTACAATGTTACATGTTTTTGATGTGTGTTGCGGGTTTTGTGATAACGGAGTGTAAACATGTAAATCCTTGCGTAAATTGTGAGCATGAAAATCTAGATATAGAGTTTCCTAGAACTAGGAACCTGCAAACTGAACACACCAAAAAGCTGGAACTTCCGCCAATAGTTCTAGGAACTATGAAAAGGTTTCTCCGGTGAGAAAGCGCCTTTATATACCGTTATTTTAAGTGTTGAGCGCTAGTTACATTTTGCGATGAAATAAAAAAATCAGGCAGTTACGATTTGCTGAATAGTATACAGTATATATCGCTTTAGGTGCATGTATTATATATGTATTAGTGTTGTCAAAAGTACCATTCGGTACTGAAATTTTAAAAACGTTAATTTCCCGCTAACATTTGAGCCCTGTTGAACGGATTCTTAAACAGCGCTGATTGGTCATTGTGTTCATGCGCTCAACTAGGGCTGCACGATTATTCGATATTAAATCGCAAAGGCGATGAATCGTGATTACAGAAGCTGCGATTGTCATGCGTATATTTCAGTGAAGCACGGTTCTGTGATCAGCAGTAAATCTCCATCCGAAGGCCAGAGGGCGCTCTCGTGCTGAAACTCCAAATATGCCTTGCAGAAGCAACCCAGGAAATGCCTATAGCGGTTGCTGAATAAACAAAAGATTTAACTGCTTTAATTGATTCAATGTGACTAATAAACACAACTACGACAATATATAGTTTATCTGAGTTCGTCTTATAATTTTTATAATAATAAAAGTATATAATAATGCAATGCTAGTCGACATAGCCTTTATCACTTCTTGGAATACTATGAAATATGTTCTGTGTAAGAAGCCACATCATCTCAGAGACGGATTTATTTCAAACACTCGACTGACGTTATGAAGTGAGTTTGGAGTAAAAACATGTTATTAAATGTGGTATTTTCACGTGCTTTCAGATGGAACAGCATTTACTACACAGAGCCGTAGTTCACTGACAAGCTATGCAAACAGCTTTCATAATTGCGCGATTAAATCATCTGCGATTATGAACACGATTTTGCGTAGCTTGTCAGTGAACTACGGCTCTGTCTAGGAAATGCTGCTCCATCTGAAAGCATGTGCTGGAGATTTACTACTAATCACAGAACCGGCTTTACTGGCAAGATGCGCATGACAATCGCATTCGATTAATCATGCAGTCCTACGCTCAACAGATCCGTCTGTGATTGGCTTCAATGATCATCGCTTCACGCTCTTCACCGAGCACTCACACAGAAACACACGGGAGTGTTTGATAGCTGCATCTATCTGGGGTCCATCTATATCCAGACATATTAGGGATCCACTGATAGACACTGAACAGTGCTCAAATGTTAGCGGGAAATGGAAGTTTTTTAAATTTCAGTACCGAATGGTAATTTTTATGAGTCTTTGTCTGTAAGCATGGTATTTTGCATATGTAATTCGCTGGAGTGTTGAGGCACAAATTAGTACCGATTCTTAGAACATCAATATGTTGCATAGGTATCAGCATATAATATACACACTTGTTTCGATCATAGGAAGGCGAATTCATAGATACTAGACATGAAATAGTTACTTATCTGAATGAGTGGTTTATCGTACGCATGAATAAAAATAGTCTATAATACAACAGATTAAATACAACACAGCAATAATATACACAATGGCCTGAAGAAAATGGGTGTTCATTCAAAGAAGGTTTTCCTATGAATTAATTAGTAGAAAAGTCAGTTTCTCCTGTGCATTTGTGCCTTTCTTATGAGGAAAATGAGGGAGTTTATCCCCTGCATTCCTTTTAGGCCATAAAGCCAGTGATATCAGCATTGGTTACCATGGAACCAGAGGCCTGTTCTGCCTTTCTGAGGTGTTAGGTGCATTTCGGGGGAAGGGTCCATAGACCCTCGTAATTGGCCATTTGGTTAGGTGATGGGGAGTTCGATATTATTTGTTAAATATAACAAAAAGTTGTGTGTCTGATTGGTCCAAATGCTACACGGGAAATGGAAGTTTTTTAAATTTCAGTACCGAATGGTATCGCGATTGGTATTTATGACAACCTAACATGTATGCAAATCAAGTTGGATATAATATATCACTGTGCAATAATACAGTTTACATTTTTGGGACCTTAAACAGCCGAGATTTGCTTTATAATTTATACTACTTTATGTGAGTATATAGGGGTGTGCCATATCATACTGTCCATGATAATACCGGTATAAATTTTTACATGAAAAAAAAAAAAGTGTCATATCGCGATATCAATGATATAGCGACGCGATGACATATGGCGGATATACGTTCCCTAGCACGCACAACAACACCACAAACCCAATAGGTGTGTTCGACTTGAAGCAGCGCTGCGCAGACTGACTGGTGAATGGCATCAAAGTATCGCGAGAGCAGTTCTAGAGCATATTCGAGCGCACACTCTTACCTTCAAAAATAGGCGAGGCGCATATCTTTAGTGAAGCAGTGCGAAATATACATTTTGTTTTTCATTTTCTGCACTTCCCTTTAGTTTTCTTCACAAACACACACATTTCCCCTCGTCTCTGTTGGCGTGCGGCTCTAATTGGAGGATTCTGCCTGCAGATATCTGCCCTCGGACTACTACGGAAGAGTACAATTAGTGTGGACATGTGCATTTGTTTGCCTCTCCACAGGCGCTCGGATTGTGCGCTATGCAGCAAATAAAACTAATCCACAGAGATAAAGTGAATAAAGGGCCTGATGCTGATAAGCTAAGACAGCTCTCCTCCTCTCCTCCTGTGCTGGGCTGTTTTCTGTGGGTGGCTAGTGGAGATATTATTCATAAGACTGTGATGAGAAAGACAGATAGCGAGAGAGCTAAAGATGCTGCATTATTTGAAGGCAGTTCAGGCTGCTTCTACAAAGCACTCACCTCCTTGTTCAGGAAAAATGATGGAAAGTTTCATAGCTAAATGTAAAATTACAAAGCTGCTCGCTTCATAAATCAAAGCACGCCACAGGAATGTCCCTGAGGGCTTTCCAAATATTAAAAGGAACAACAATTATGGACATTTTCTCTTAATCTAGTTTGCCTGACCAAGGTACTAAACAAAAATGCATTTATGAGCAAACTGTATGAGCATTAACTAACAGTTCACCATCATGTTGTTCCAAACCAGTATGACGATCTGGTTTGATGTCAATGAAAATCATGAAATATTGGATGATGATCGTCACTGACGTCAAAACTAATCTGAACTCACATGACAGGATTAAAGAGCTATGAATGTGGGGAAGGGTTTCAGCAAACAAAACTTTACATTTCAGTTTTATATTTCACTATTGCATGGCTTCAGAGGAGTTATTTAGAGGAATGTAATCATATCTGTTTTATGACATTTATAAAGTCATTGTTAAAGCTGAAGCAGGCACATCCCTATAGACAGCTGCAAGGATGAAGTATTTTTGTAGGCCAAAACCATAAACGAGAGCCTTTTTAGCACTTCTAGGTCTATCGTCCTGAAATCAATGGGGTTGTTTTTTTTAACAGGTTTTTGTTTAAATGCCTGATATAAGGTCTGTGGTGAACAAGTTCAAGATATTTTCATGTTTTATTCTACAAAATAAAATACATCAGTAATACCCCCTTGAGATTTTTAAAAGCATTTACTTGTCTTCGAAAAGGCGGTTGCTATCAAGTGGCTAAATGGGAATACAGTGTCTGTGACATTAAACGTCATTTCCATTAAACTCATTTCCCCTTCCACAGCTCCAATGTCTTTATAATCGTACTCTTGCAAATTATACTTCAAACTTTAAGGGAAAATGTATTCTTTAAATAAACACTTAAAGAGTTGTCAAAAGCTTAGTGATGGTGATGCTGAAGTGGGTGTAGTTTGTTTATAGTCTACTTTTAGCTTTTAACTTATGGCAATTGTATTTAGACTTCAAAATTCATAAAAGTTCATTCATGAAGATTATCTTGATGAACAGAACATACAAGAATCATACATCTTTGTTGGTTGAAGAGATATTTTCTGCAATAATCCAAAAGTCAAAAGAAAAATCCTATTGGGTTTTTGTCAAGCGAACCAGGGTGATGCAAACTTAAAATATATCACTGCAATGTCCTAATGCATCAAAAAAGCACTAACAATACTCTGCAAAACATTTCAATATATACAAATGAAAGATTTGTATACATTGTTTTTTTCCTGTCTAATTACACTGAAACTCCTAGTACACATGCTCCAGATTTGTTAAGCCTTGGTTATCATGCTGGTGAGACAGGTTCAAGTCTGATAATTTTACACATGCAGTACACACTAGGGCTGTGTGTAAAATAAAATAAAATAAAATACAATCTTTCTAATAACGCAAATCTAGACCCCAAAAAAAGAAGAAAAAAAATCCACAGGAAACCATCACTCATCCCTCCTGATAAGTAACCTAAAAATCCCTCCATTTCTTTCTCCAGTCTTATTTAGTAAACTCCTCACAACAAGGTCAAGTCTCTCATCTCTCCCTGGCTTGGCTCAGTCTCAGAGGGACAGGACCCTGTGAGCAGCCTGAGAAGAGGACCCTGCTAGTCCCAATACGCTGAGATGTGTCTGCAACACGGTTTCCTGTCGACAGGCCCATCAGCATGAAGCCGCACACCACACAGACCCGAGAGAGCAGTGCTGCTGGGACAGCATGTAAACTCAACCTGCAGACCACAGCCCGTCACGTTAACAAGTCTGAACAGCCTGTCCACACAGCAGATACAACAGGTTAGACGTGTGACAAGGAGGGAGGTATATGACGTGCACAAACACACACACACACTACACCCACATACCCACTAGAGCAGTAAATCGGCCGCCACACTTGTCAACAGAGCACCTGAGCAAAAACAAAAGCACAACTGTATAGTAAAAACACCCCTCCATATGACAGAGAAGTCCTGGTTGATATTTATTAGCAGTCAACCACTATGGGTTTTTTTTAATAGCCGATGCTAATATCTATAAAGCAGGTTGGTCAATTATAATACTTTTACAATTACAAAACGTAATGATGACAAATGCAACGTTTACAAAATTGTAAAAATCAAACGTTCAGTTATTTTACACAAAAATCGCAGAAAATGTTTACTTTTTATTTGACAAAGCTATAAATTGCTATTAACTAGCAAATTAAAATTACCTAAAGGGATAATTCGCCCAAAAATTAAAATTCTGTCATTAATTACTCGCCCTCATATTGTTCCAAACCCTTAAGGCCTTTGTCCATCTTCAGAACACAAATTAAGATATTTTTGGTCAAATTCAAGACTTTTTGCACACAAAAAGTATTCTTATAGCTTCATAAAATTACAGTGGAACCACTGATGTCACATGGACTATTTTAACAATGTCCTTACTACCTTTCTGGGCCTTGAACATGGTAGTTCCCTTGCTGTCTATGCATGGTCAGAAAGCTCTCGGATTTCATCAAAAATATCTTAATTTGTGTTCCGAAGATGAACAAAGGTTTTATAAGTTTGGAATGACATGACATGAATTTTCATTTTTGGATGAACCATCTCTTTAAATGTAGCATCTTAAATCACACTAAATTCTAAAACACATTAAAATCTATTTAAAAATAATGAAAGCATGTTTCTAAACTAAATGAGCACAAGAAATATTAAATATACTTATTTTCATTTATACAAACCAATACAACAATGCCTAGCTATAAACAGCGATGTTTACATGTATTTTATTCAAATATTTAAATTACACACTTAAAGTGATGTGCAAATGAATCACTGAGGTAAAGTTCTGAACTGATTCAAATAGTTTGATCCGATTCACAAAGTCACCTTAACTCAAACTCTATGGCCAATTTTGCAATTTAAGTTTAAAAGTGTTTAAGAACAGAGATGCTGAAAGTTTTGTCCTAACATTCTCCTATATGCAAGTTGTGAAACAATTTGTGAAATTAATGTTCTGAACTGATTCAAATAGTTTGATCCGATTCACAAAGTCACCTTAACTCAAACTCTATGGCCAATTTTGCAATTTAAGTTTAAAAGTGTTTAAGAACAGAGATGCTGAAAGATTTGTCCTAACATTCTCCTATATGCAAGTTGTGAAACAATTTGTGAAATTAATCAGAGATGCACCGATTGCAATTTTCTTGGTCGATTCCGATTTCCGATTTTTTTGTTAGCAAACAAAAATCTACTTTTCTTCAACGCAAAGTTTTATTTTCATAAAAAAACACAAGTAAAAAGTCAGTAATAAAATAAGAACAAATAAAAAAAAATTGCAAACAACAGCACAAATAAATGCAATAGAATAAAGAGAGCTATGAAAAGTTTTTATTCAGTTAAGAAAGAGTACAGAAATTAAAGCAATCAAATATAAAATAAGGCGGTAGCACTTTTAGCTTAGCTTAGCATAGATCATTGAGTCTGTTTAGACCATTAGCATCTCGCTCAAAAATGACCAAAGAGTTTTTATATTTTTCCTATTTAAAACTTGACTCTTCTGTAGTTACATTGTGTACTAAGACCGACGGAAATGTTACGGAAACGAAAACTGAGTATAGTTCCTAGCCATATCGGCCTACAAAATCGTTTCCGATCGGCCGATTCACCGATCCGGGCCGATCATGATGAAAATCGTCCGATTCCGATCCCTGGCTGATCGATCGGTGCATCTCTAAAATTAATCTAATGATTTTAGCAAACTTACTGGGAAAATGCATTGAAATAATTGCGATATTCATAATGTAGCTTAACTTCATTGCTAATATATGTGAATATACTCATTACCCAGCTCAAATGCACACACACATACACATCAATCCAGAAACACTCTAAAAATATTCCTCACACCTGAGGGATACAGAGACCCAAACACCTGCTCCCCTCTGCCTCTCACAGCAATGACAGAAGCAGAAAACCCAGACAGAGAAAGAGTTTAAACAGCACGGCAGATGGATCAACAGAGACAGCGCAGCCGCTGCCAGCAAAAGCTACGCTATGCGACAGGAGCCAGTGAAGTCCACACGCACACACCTGCACCTGCATTACCGGCTCACGCATGCCAACTAGGATGCTTCGTTCAAACCTTCAATCTGCGGTTTACGTTCCACTCATTATCATTAGTTCGCAAAGTTTCATTTCAACTAGCAACATCAAACTGACGCAACACAAAAACACAACTTTCCCCAAGCACAAACGATTCACAAACCCAAACGCTTTGCTGACATACAGCACGACACGTCACGTCACGAAACTTTGCACACAATAACAAAACACGCCCACTAACGCCATACAAACCAACTCCGTACAAATAGAGCCTACTGCGGGATCTAGGAAAGGGGGGTAGAAACACGACAATCTTCTCTCTAAGGTGGCAGCTGATGGAAGGGTTTATCCCTGGAGGATCAAGCCACTGCGAGCGCCTTTTTTTCCGTCCCCACCAGCAGTCTGAGCAGGCATGACGCATGCCTGGATGAGAAGAGGATGATGAAGCTGTTCCTTAGCTCCTCGGTCTCCCCCCGCACCTCGATTCGCGCCCCTTCGTGCCGCCTCCATCTCTGGGCTTTCTGCAGGCGCACGCAGCAACCAAAGGGGAGCCAGTTCACACTCATCTCTCCCCATGGCCACCCGACCTCCAATCTAATTAAGCTCTGAGGCGGAGAAGATTAGGCACCCGGAGAGAGAGGGCGAGGGAGAGAGAGAGAGGGACTATAAATAAGACTCACGGAGCCACGGCGAGTCCTGAACGACTGCACAGCGCGTGCCCACTTTCGGCACAGCACCGTTTTCATGTCTGCGCTCTCTCTCTCTCTTTCGTTCTCTCGCTGTGATTCTGCCGGCTCCTCTTCTTATGTAATCCTAATACACAACTGGCCTACATTTACACACACACACACACACAGATCAATACCTACATATTTATGTGTGTACTGACGGAGTGTATACAATATTAGCCTATGCACACACACACACACACACACACTCCCAAGAAATCCCAAAAGACTGCAGCGATCCGCAGGACAACGGTGTTCACTTTAATATTTAACATAGTGCACTGCTGATGAAACTTTACAACGTTTTAAAAAGGCTTTAGGAGGGTGGCTTCCACTTCCATATGTATTTGTAGCATATATATAAGTCTTTTAGTGTTATGTATTTATCAGTGATGCATTTTTTTACTGAAATCAAAGTACAATAATCAACACTCAAGCAAAAACTGAGGTGTAAATAAATATTTAAAGCAGCTTTTATATAAACTTTTTTAATGATATAATCAAGTTTCAATTGATTGTTGAATATACACAGAGTGGCGGTAACAAAAACGTATATGTAAGTTTTGTAAGATTTGCAATATCTAAATTGCACAATATGTAAGATTTTTTTATTAAAATATCCAAAAACCACTAGAACAGTGTTATATATTTTGCTGACTTGTGTACTTACATTATCCCAAATGTTTCGAAGAATGTTTAAATCCAGAGAAATAAGCAATTTTAACTAGTGACACGGAGCGTGTCCATAGTGTCATTGTGTCGCCTGCCAATGACGTCATACCCCCTCGATTTCCAGTTTTGTTTTGTAGAAAACATGGAAACACCAAAGACGCTTTGATATGTTGTGCGCTTTATTAGACCGGTGACAACTGCACAGAGTAGCATTATAACAGAACTTTCAAATGTATCTAGCATGATAAAACAGTGCTGCTTTTTTCTCCCACATACACACGACCGGAAGGAGCGGAAGCGGTCGACTGTGGCATAATAAAAGCTCCGCTGCTTTTGAGCCGTGTGTCACGCTCGTTCAGCGGCCTCGTTTCGCTTTGATGGCTTTCAGCCTCACCCTACTTCATTCTACTACGTTAATAAATCATTAGCTCATCCATGAACATGATTTCTGCCTGAGTCCCGTCAGATTGCATCGGCTGTGGTGATGAAGACGACAACTCCCATGATTCCACACTCAGTCACGACGTCATCAAACTACGCCTTTGTCTATTTGTTTATTTTGAATACGCGCCCTCTAGCGGCAAAAATTACATATTGTGCCTTTAAATAATGAAGACAACATTTAAGTAAAAATATAATGTAATGTAATATAGTGCATATTTTATCAAAATAATCTCCCTCTTCAAATAGGTTAAAATTGCTTAATGCAGCAACTAATACACATTACAAAAAGGCATGTTTTCTAAATAGAAAATATTTGAAAGTCCAGACTTTGTTACATATCAAAACTAGGGCCTTTCGCACCGCGGGAACCTTTTCATAGTACCAGAACTACAAAGACGCTTTGATATGTTGTGCGCTTTATTAGACCGGTGACAACTGCACAGAGTAGCATTATAACAGAACTTTCAAATGTATCTAGCATGATAAAACAGCGCTGCTTTTTTCTCCCACATACACACGACCGGAAGGAGCGGAAGCGGTCGACTGTGGCATAATAAAAGCTCCGCTGCTTTTGAGCCGTGTGTCACGCTCGTTCAGCGGCCTCGTTTCGCTTTGATGGCTTTCAGCCTCACCCTGCTTCATTCTACTACGTTAATAAATCATTAGCTCATCCATGAACATGATTTCTGCCCGAGTCCCGTCAGATTGCATCGGCTGTGGGGATGAAGACGACAACTCCCATGATTCCACACTCAGTCACGACGTCATCAAACTACGCCTTTGTCTATTTGTTTATTTTGAATACGCGCCCTCTAGCGGCAAAAATTACATATTGTGCCTTTAAATAATGAAGACAACATTTAAGTAAAAATATAATGTAATGTAATATAATAATAATAATGTAAAAAGTCTGGAGAACAGCGATAGATGGACGGACGCTGAAGTGCAGGCACTTGTAGCAAATGTAGCACTGCCAGTTGTTGTTGGAGATTCTTAGTCCTCCTTTCCGTTCTTTCAATCGCTTTACGTATACGTCGACTTTCCATGTCCATTATTGTGAAACCCGCGAGACACTACAAAAACACAGGGTCCTCCATCCTCCTGTTGTTGATGTTGTTCTTCTTTGTTTCTGTTGTTGAACGCCGCGCTGTCGACCGGCTTACATCACTTCTTAGTACACACTCTCGGTGCGAATGCAACCCTTTAAATGGTACTGGGAAATAGTTCGCGCAAAATCGACCCTACTTTAGTACTGTACATTTAGTTCTGGAACTAAAGCGGTGCAATAGGCCCTAAAAGCAACAAAGCACAAAAGCCTTTTGCAATTATTGGATGTGAGGTCGAGACACAAATTATGTTTAGTTACATTTTTGTTCACGCGTCACCTGAAAACAGCAAAGACTAAAGGCCAATGTATACTTTGTATTTTACGTTTGCATTTTTATGTGGACGGAGATTTTTTTTAAAACGGAAGAAGGAAAAACTTGTTTATAAAAATACTCGTGTACGTGTGGACATGGCCTAAGAGATCTCTTCTTTTGTATAATCCTTAGAAGCCAAAATCGAAATAAAAAAAATACAATTAGCTTAATAAAACAGCCACAGGCCTAAAGTGTAAGCAGATGTTTGAATGTTTAGTTCTCTCTTCTATCATAATTAAACAGGGCTTTCATGTTGCGCGTGCTGAAGCTCCTCCGCGTGCGCGCGATCTCGCTTCTGAATTGCGAATAGCAAAAATGCATCATAGACAAATGTTTGAAAAACAGCTGGCGACTCTGGTGAGATAGAATTTGCAAGATAATGTGTATATATACCAATAATAAATGTATGTGTGTTTTATTCATTTCTCCAGTACCGATACCAGAACCGTTAACGTCAGAGCTTATCGATACTCCGGTCTTTCATAATTTAGCCCCGGGACCGATTAAATACCATCCCTACACGACACTGTCTCTGTTAGCAGTGAAAAGAAGATTAGAGGCTTTTACGCCCACTAACAATCTCCTGCCGTCACTGTCCATATTAGCAAGACCCCTAGTCCTTAACAAGTACCTATAAGATGAGTATAAGATGATGATGACCCGCTGATGCACCCAGCAGCTAATACACACACTCTAATATGCTTGACCCGACTCAAAAGATCTTCATTTCAATTACTGTACAATTTAATTATACAGGCCTAGGCATTTTCACATCAGACAGACATAATTACTGATGATTATGAATTTACACATTACCTTAAAAAGGTTACCTAAAAAAAATCTCTCTTACCATTCAAAATTTTAGGGTTGGTAAGATTTTTTAATGTTTTTAATTAGTCTTTTATGCTCACCAAGGATGCATTTATTTTATTAAAAATACAGTGAAAACAGTAATATTGTGAAATATTACTACGGTTTAAAAATCATGGTAAAGCTGAATTTTCAGTATCATTACCCCAGTCTTTAGTGTCACATGATCCTTTAGAAATTATTCTAATATGCGGATTTGCTGCTCAACAAATGTCTTATCAATGTTGAAATCAGTTGTGATACTTAATATTTTTGTAAAAAAAAAAAAACTTTTTTGACACTATGAATGTCTTTACTGTCACTTTTGATAAGTTTAATACATCCTTGCTGAATGAAGATATTAATTTATTTAAAAAAAAATGTAAAATAAAACTACTGATCCCAAAGTTTTGAATGGTAGTGTAAAATACAATTTAATGATTATTTAATAAAAAAAGTTAATCAATTATCAGCATAGTTGTTTTCTAATATAATAATATTACACAATATAATTACATTTAAATTTGTGAATTTGACAGACACAATGCAACAAACACTGAACATTACATGTTAATTTCTTTTAAACCCATGACCTTGACAGCACTACAGGAATGTCATAATGTCTTACAATAACAGCAACAATGTGTATTCATAAGCTGTTCCATGGCAAACATTATACAAGTGGTTGATTTGTATTACTCAGTACTGACATCAAAACAGGCACTAATTTAACAAGCAACCAAAAAGCAAAAAGGCCTTGACATCATTCCTATGAGAAAACAATGAATCCCCAACAGAAAAAAACTTACTGGAGCACAGTCACTCTTTCCTCAGAACACTGGGGTGTAAAAATAGAGCGAGTGAACACTTACACAGAAAGCAGCACAGGGACAGACATCCACAGACTGATGCTCTTTGTTTGCTTCACTGGACAGCCAGTCCTCCAAAATAAAGCACTAACTGTCTCAGAAAACAACTCCAACAATGGATGGAGAAAGAACCTCTTAGTAATCTAGATTGTTGAACAAGCATGTCTGGGGAGTGAGGCTGAAAAATGTTATACAGAAATCAAACAGTGTGTCTTTTGGAAGAATAAATACTTTAAGAATGCTGTGAAAATAAATATGCACAGCAGTAATATTTTTTATAAAAGTTTGCAAAAACCCTGCACAATTACAATCAAAATTCATGTCAAAACAACACTATGTTGGAGCCGTTCAAATCAATTTAATCTAGCTGTGGTATTAAAAAATTTAAATATAAAAATGCAATAAAATAAAAAAATGTAAATCAATTGCTATATATCTGATAAAGTTTCATAGATTCTTAAATGACATTAAAGTTGCTGTGGTCAGCCATTCAAATCAATCATATCAACTGTTTGGCAAACTTCTCATCACATCCTTAAACAAGACAGCTTCTCTACAAAGCCCCGCCTCCAAAGATATTTCAGCCAATCTAATGTTAGCATGCCAAATGACAGGCAGAGGCATATAGAGTCTATAACACAGACAAGTGTGATTTGTGAAGACACCTATTTCAGTGACATCTGTCAGAAAGAAGGACGTTTCATGTGTGGCTAAAAAAAAAAGCGTTAAATGAAGATAAAATATGATGTAAATGATTGTAAATGTCCTTCACATTTCTACCATGCAATTTAACAAATACATTTTCAACACCACACACACAGTCCTCCCTGCATACACCATGACATTCCTCTATGAATTCAGAGTGTTTCTGCTCGAGCTGTGAGCGGACTAGTCTCCTTGAAATTCATTGTCATTTTCGATATGGTTCCTCTTGTAATAAAACATTTCCCCCTTTCTGCATGCGTTTCCTTAAATAAAAGACACGTCCTATTTTAGAACCTAACAGACCATAACAAATGAATTCTACAATTAATGCTTAAAACAGTTATGGCACATTGTGATAAATCTAACAGCATTCATCAAAAACCAGCTAGCTAAAAGTAGGGCTGTGCGATTAATCGAAATCGTCATAAAATCGCGATTTGAGCTTGTGCGATTTCTAAATCGCTTTAAAGCATGCTTTTCCGCGCCCCTGACCTCCAGCAGTATGCTATCCGAACCAATCAGAATGCAATGCGCCTAAATGGAGCACGAGAACAGAACAGACCGGGCGGGCATACAAACGTAACGCCAGGTTCACACACTCTGTCTGTGGTGCGTATTTTTTCCGTGCCCATGTTAACGTATCAGAGCGTTCACACTGCAAGATATTGCGGTCCGGCAGTGCGCTCCAGGAGCGGTGTGTCTGCAGCAGTCATGCTGCGATCATTTCCGCACGGAGTATAGGCCCGGGTATACTTCACTGCAGTCAGGAGCGGACTGCAAACGCATCCTGTGAGAAAGCAAAATGAGTCCGTGCTGCTTCTGCACCGCATACACATACTGTATACGCACTGCAGACGGAGTACGTGTGAACTTGGCGCAACAAATCTAGTTCAACATCTGAGGCAATGCCACAAAGAGCTCTATGACCAATGCATGGCAAAAAAAATCCCTGGACACGGGATTTTTATTTCTGCCATATGTCTAGAGACATTTTGTTACACCTTTACTTAGTGATTATTTTGCCTTATGTCTGTTCTAGAGACATGTTACAACTTTTTGATAATGCTCTAATTGGTTTTCTTTTGGAAATGTTTCAAATTCATACTGAATGCATTAATGACTGTAAAGCATGTCTGTGTGTGTCAAAATCGTGATTAAAATCGAAATTGAAAAACTGATCAAAGAAATCGCGATAGTTTTTTTTGTCCATATCGCACAGCCCTAGCTAAAAGTCATACACTGCCGTTCAAAAGTTTGAGATTAGTAAGATTTTTTTAAAGAAATTACTTTTATTCAGCAAGAATGCATTAAACTGATCAAAAATGACAGTAAATACACTTATAATGTTACAAAATATATCAAACCTATATAAAATAAATGCTTGCATCTGAACTTTATTAACAAAAAAAAAATACAGAAAAAATGCATTACAGCTTTAACAAAAATATTTAGTATAACTTTTCTGCATCGATAATAATTATGTTTCTTGAGCAGCAAATCATCATATTAGAATGATTTCTGAAGGATCATGTGACACTGAAGACTGGAGTAATGATGCTGAAAATTCAGCTTTGGATCATAGGAATAAATTACATTTTAAAATATATTTAGATAGAAAACAGTTCATTTAAAGTGTTGTAATATTTCACAATTTTACTGTATTTTTGATCCAATAAATGCAGCCTTGGTTAACGTAAGACATTAAACATTTAAAAAAATCATACCAACCCTACACACTGCAACAAAAAAAGATGAGAATACATAAAGTAATGATGCTGAAAATTCAGCTTTGGATCATAGGAATAAATTACATTTTAAAATATATTTAGATAGAAAACAGTTAATTTAAAGTGTTGTAATATTTCACAATTTTACTGTATTTTTGATCCAATAAATGCAGCCTTGGTGAACGTAAGACATTAAACATTTAAAAAATCATACCAACCCACAAACTTTTGAATAGCAGTATATATATATACATACAGTATATATACACACCGCAACAAAAAAAGATGAGAATACATTAAAAAAAAACTGAACCCAAACCTTGATTAAGAGTTGGATCAGTTGATATGAAGTGAATCAGCACTGTTCTGAGAAACTAACGCATTAAATCTACGCCATGTTCATGTCTTATTAAAAGTTGTCTCTAACCACTCTAAAATATTAAACACAGTTCTGTTAACCACAAATTAAAAAATCATGCAGTCAGAAAGTATGGAAAACTGTCAGCATTTTTACTTCAACGTCATCAAAGCTTAAAATATTGATAGAAAAACGGTCCGAATGCTTTGGCATGTTAAGAGACACTTCAAAAAGTCCAGATTCCCAGTGACACTTCTATTAGACAATAAATCAAGATCAAAGTACAGAAGCAGAAGCGTATTACCCAAGTCCACATCCTCTTCCCGCGTCCTAAATCAGATGACCCTGTTCTGTTACGAATCATTTGAAACGCAGCTTCATCGTCAAAGAGAAACAAATGGTGCCGTTTCACCGAGCAGCTGCCACATTTTCCTCAACCACTGCCCAACTATTTCCCATCCTGTTATGAGGCTTTAACAGTGTTGTCTACGTCTAATAGACAGTCGTAAATAGGGTCAGCATGCATCTCAGACAAGGATCCGGTGTTCTGTAGTGGGGCAGGAGACGGCAGGCACATTTAATCCGTGGTGTAGGGTAAATCTTTATTTGGATGTGTGGATGGCCCAGGCTCGTCTGTATATCACATTGAATTTCTTCAAGTGGCTGGTTGAGGGGTGTCGGACATAAAAACTCGTCCAAACGGCTACGAGAGATGAGGAGAATTCTTCAAGCGCCACTCCTTCCGCTAATAATACAACAGCTAACGATGCCATCCCAGCTTCCGTGTCATTACCGAAGGGATGACACCTCACTTAGCCACGCACACTCCTGCTATGTGATGTAAACGATACCATGAACAGGTTTCTGGCATTGGATGTTGAAACATTATACACACACATACAGTATAGAGAAAGAGAGAGACTTAGCATCTCAGAATAGCAACTCCACCACAACTGATAATTGGCTACTATGCAGCCGGAGGCATGTTAAATGGCGGTCATTGAAAAAAAAAAAAAAACGTATCAAGTGGGTAAAATGTAAATCAGCCCATGCAGGGGGAGCTTTTTTTGGCCATTTATCAGTCGTGTCCTCATGCAGAGTCCAGGCTAAAGCCTCTGAGCAGAAGTGTTACAGTGAAGACTGGAAACTGGGCCGAACGCCTATCGCGAGTGTTTGTTATCTGTGCTTGCTATCCTCCCTTGTGCTGTGTCCTGCAGGGAGCTGGTATGAATGTGAAGGGCCAAAAATGAAAGTTTGAGGTGTCTCGTGTAGTACATCTGTGGGTACAGATGTACTTGTGTATCCAATAATTAGTCTGAGGGTCATTTTGAGGCCGGTGTGTTCTGTTTTCTGCACATCATAAGAGTGTGTGTCAATCTCTGTTTGGAATAGAGTTTGTTTCGAGTCAATATTACATTGATCAACAATGACATTCACAACTGCGCTGTTTGTTCTATAGTATGCAGCTGCCAATTTATTTACACAATATTTCAAAAACTGATAGAGCCTGCGTTATTGTAAAGCCACAGTTTAAGAGTACTCAATAAATAAATAAATAACACGAACACCAATAATTTAACCAATAGTTTTGCATGCATCGTTTGAGTATTTCCAGTCAAGCAATTATTCAAGTCAACAGAGAACACGTGCAAATAGTCAGATGAGGGTTATTAGCAAACTAAAACTAATACCACACCAAAAAAAAAAAAGAATATTATGAATATTAACTCAAAATATTAAAAATATAAATTTTTTTACAAAATTAATTCAAAATTTTT